AATGGCTTGTTATCAGGCCTTTGCCAAACATGATGGCATGCTGAAGAGGTAATCAAACCATTTGATTCAGCTGTGTTGGAGTAGGGATGCATCTAAAAGCTGCAGGATAGTAGCTCTTGAGGACTGGGATTGGGCAGCCCTGGCCCAGACTTTTCCTTATCTTCTTTTTTCAAGGTAGATGTACGTCAGGCGGTCGAGAAGCTAGCTTATCAATCAGAAGGTTGGTGGATCAATTTCTGACTCCTTTAGTGCACATGCTAAAGCATCCTTGGGCAAGATGCTGAACCCCAAGTTGCCCTGATGCATCCACCGCAGTGTGTCCATGTTAGAAAGCACTCAGACATAGATTTTATAGTATTGTGTGATTGGGTGAATAACACTTGTAGTAAAAACTGCTTTGAGTGTTTTAGAACTAGTCCACTTACCTCTATAAGACCAAAAGTGCTGTTGTAACCACAGCCATTGCTCCCTTTGAGGCCATTGAAAAGAATGCAGGCACTTTTGTTTTGGCTACACGTTTCAGACCCATCTATAATTATTAATAAAGGTTTTTATTTATTTTTTTAAACAAAGGTTTAAGCAAAGTCATCAACATTTGTAAGCATTTTAAACAAAAGATAAAAAAAAAAGGTATTGTAGCAATGTAATGTGTTTTCTGAACATGCAACTGTGTAAACCTTCTAGACAAAGCACAAAATAAATACAAGCCTGCAAATGAGCACAACATGGTGAGTTTTCCTTTCATACATAAAATTGTTTGACCGTTGCGGTGCACCAAACTGTAAATAAGAGTACTGTATTTTTAAAAGAGTAAATGGCGAGCATCTGGAATGCTTTACCTCCTTCATAACCTCTCCTCCTCTGCCCTTCATCTGATCCTCTTCTGTTTTAACTCATGAACAAAGGAAGAACCGTTTTATATCAGACCCAAATAGGTTCATCTAATGCCCATGAATGTGTCATTTTTTGCTGTGTCAGTGAGTTATATTTATGCACAATGGCTGATCATCTCTCTCTCTCTCACTCTCTCTCACACACACACACACACACACACACACACACACACACACACACACACACACACACACACACACACACACACACACACACACACACACAGGAAGTGAGTAAAACTTCTGAACTTCTTTGTCAAACCACTTCCTTGTACACTCATTTGCACTGGCTGCATTAAAGCGTCAACTGTCACTCTTCTCCCAGCTGGTAAGTTTCTCTAAATGTAGGCAGTTTAAGTTGCCTGATATTTACTGCATCTTGTTTATTTTTATTTTTATACAGTTCTGTAGTACGTAACTTTTGAGACATGTAACTTTTACTTTTAATCGTATCCAAATGGCCTTCAAGATTCCTCCTGAGTCTTGCCATATACCTTTAAAAATCAGAAGCTGGCCATTTTGAGCTGCCGTACTTCATACATTGTACACTGTGAGTTGATTCTGGTTCTGTTTGGGCAGAAGTCTAGTTGCATGAGTAAATTTGTAAATCCTTATATGTACGGATGTTCTTGAGCTTTCAAAGACTCAACCTAATTCAAGATAGGTTGAGACAAGATACAAAGCAAAAGCAAAAACTTTGGATTGTAACACTGAAACTGGAAGAGGAAGAAATAAAGGTTAAACAGAAGGTCATTGTAGGCATCGGCTCTTTTTTTTAACCAGTAATTTGCATCTCTGACCTGCCTTTGTGCTGTTAGCGTGGGCGCTAGAGAGAGTAGGCGAGGTGTGTTAGTGTAATCAAATTAGGGACTCACAGGATTGTGTAACACAGCAATCACAGGCCCAAATGTTCCTGTCTCCATGTGGAGGTCCAAGTCATATTGCCAAGAGAAAAACATTTTTTGTTTTAGCTGCAATTTACTCCACATCTGCACTTCATTCCCAGTCTCAACCTCATCTTTGGGCTCTGTCCATTTTGAACAGAGGATGGTGGTCAAATTAATGGGTAATGACAGGATAATGGTGTGACACACCATATTAAATGTGCAACATGTATGCCAGTAAAGTAAAAATCATTTTACATTGTGGCTACATGAGGAAAACAATGGGAAGGAGAAAATTATTGTTTTTAATTTATATTTACATTCAAGAGGTAAACGATCCTCTAAAAGCTGCAACTGAACCAGCCAGCCTAGAAGGCCAATAATGCCAATTCTGACATTCACAGCCAGATTCAGAGACCGTAAGCTAATAATAACACAATAACTGTGATGAAACTAAAGTTAAGGAAGTCGTTCCCGGTACTAATTTTAGTTCCACATTTCTGACTCATAATTACAATTCAACTAGAACCGAGGATTGGTTCAAAATTCTTATTTTTATTAGTTTAGAAAATACAGTTTTATGCCATTAATGCATTTCTGTACTAGCAAAGTAAAGCTGTGTTGAGAGGAGTAACTATATCGTTAGCCCCCTCTCTTTATTTTTGTCTTCCATCTTGCCTAATCTGTTTTGTAGTTCTTCATTCAGAAAGCAAACTAAAACAACAACAAAGTTTCTGCCAAAAAACACCAGAATTGGTACTTCGTGAGGAATGGTTGCAAGGTATTATTTTCAGTAGTTTAGATGAGAACATTTGATTGCAATTATGTTAGCATAGCATTAACAAGGACTGTTGGTTACCATCTGAAAACAACCATTTGAAAAAAAGAAATAAGTATTCAACAGGTCTGTAAACACTTGCAAACTATTCCCAAAGCTGTAGTTAAACAGTAAAAAGTAAGACATGAACCAGAAACTTTTCATATTTTGAAATGTGATTGTTACACTGGTAAGGCACAAACGTTATTTTCAAGGTGACTGTTCATCATGTCTGGTTTTCAAGTTTCACTACAGCTCACAGAGCTAGTTTCCAAGTCTGTCTTGTGTTTGCAGAAAAGTCATCTTACGTGTAAACTGCAGAAACTTTCGAGCTACCAAAGCAAACAAAAGCAGGTGTCAAGTGCAGCACCCTCTTTACAGTCGATGTCATCCAGAGACTCCCATTAACAATTTGCCAACTGAGATTACACATTTTCCCATAGCAACCATAGGTTGCCACAGACTTACCAACCAGTCTCCAGGCCTACAACTGAGACCTTAAATAAGCTCGTCTCATCTGCTTTCTAATCCCAATAAACAACCAAATTAACACAGAGCAAGGACTGATAGAAGATATTATTTTCAGCGGCTATAACTGCTGTTTGAAGGTATTAATGTCTTTGTAATCTAGTTAGATCAAGCTATACCGAAAGCAGTTTAATCTGCTTTGTAATTTCTGAGTCAAAAGGAATACTTAGCAACTATCCATCCATCCATCCATTTGCTTCCGCTTATCCTTTTCAGGGTCGCGCGGGATACTGGAGCCTATCCCAGCTGTCATAGGGCAAGAGGCGGGGTACACCCTGGACAGGTCGCCAGTCTGTCGCAGGGCAACTAGGAAGTATTAAAATAAGGTGCATTTTAAATAAGTGTCTTTTTATCTTTCTATGCCTGCCTTTATCTTTCTATGCCAGCCTAAACATACCTTGAAACACAACCTAACTAGTACTCAGTGATAAGTAGTTAAAAGGTGTTATCCCCCCAGTATTTTAGATGAAACAATTTGATGGAAGTAATTAATTAGTCAGCCAAAGTTACACTAATACTAATAAAGCACAGGGAGCAATTCGCACATCTCACATCCCTTTGAAGCTCACAGGTTGTTGTTAGTGGTCATTTCAAGCTTCACTTCAGTTCAGTGTATTTACTGTCCAATCATAGGCCAGTCACCAGTGTCCTATGCTCCTGTTGGTAATTGCTTCAATCGCTCGTCTTGAAGTTAAAAAAGTGTATCTCCACCTACTTCACATTGTCAGCAGTTTTTTCACCCATAAGTACTGAAATTCATTGACTTTCTCTGGTGTCTGGTCACAACGTTGCTGTGGTTGCTCCCTATATGGATGCAGCTTAACGCCTATTAAGTTAACCAGAATTTCACACCATGTGGTCATAGGCCTACTACACTAAGTGACACACTGTGGTGACACACATCTCACAATGTGTCACATTGTTTTTGTAGTTTCTGAGTCAAGAAGCATACTAATAGTAAGGTATGTTTAAAATAAGATGTAACTTTAACAATAAGGGCAAATCCCATTACACAAGCCTGTTTGTGCTCTCAAATGTCATGAGTAATGTTTATGTAAAAGGCCACATTTTGCCAAGAATTACATCAGAAGATCAATAGCTCATCTGCTCGCAGCCAGACAAATAAGAAAGAAAAACATTCCCCTATAACCCCCATAAAAAATAAAACATGCTGTTCTTAATTGTCATATTTTGAGAGATTTAAACAAATAACACATAAAGTTAATGATAAGCTTTAGAGATGGTGCCAGGCAGACTTTTATTATCACCACAGTGTTTGGATGTTGTTGGATGTTGTTGGTAATTATCTTCTCATTGAACTCTCAAAAAGAGGAAATAAAGAAAGGCTTAGTGTCTTTTACAATATTAAACTATTAATTTAACATAAGAGGAATTAGTAAAACAAAACAGGCTGCCTGAAATTTATTCAATCTGACTCTTTAGAACAGTGGCAGCTGTAGGACATTTTATGCTATTTAATGTCAATAATGCACACTCGGAGCCTCGAAATGAAGCTGGACTTGAAAAACAAAGACCTTCTAGAAAATTATTACGCCTGTCAAAAGCTATCATCATTTGCTCTCCGGGTAACAAACCTTTCTCCATTTCTGTACAAATTGTGCATCAGCTGTCGGGCGAGTTGGTGCTACTTGAGACCAACAGAGTGTTTCGTGCTAATCTAATAGCAAACCGAACTTCCTGGTTGTCACATCCTGGCTGGCTGACAGCTCATATGGTGACAGGCTGTGGTTGAGGCCTTAATCTTACTTTCCATCTCATTCTGCAAGGGGACTTCCTCTATTATTTCTGTCTCGTTATTCTTTCTCTATGCTCTCCTTGCTAGACTTTCTTGTTTGATTTTTCTTGTACTTGTAGCATTCTTGTAATCTCATTTTATTTCTTGTCTAATCTGAAACAGCTGAGGGATAAGAAAAATGTTTCTTTGGGGGATGAAAGGAGAAAGCATACACCAAGGGAAATATTGACATCGTACTTAGCTTACACTGAGCACGCTGGCAAGTAATATTCAAATAAAAGTGCAAAAATAAACTAATTTTCCAAACAAGCAGTCCAAACCAGAGGTTATTTTTCTTTGCTTTCCATTACCTTCTGTAGCTGAAAAGAAGCTGCAGGAAAATCAATATCCCCTGCACTTTCACGGAGATTATTGTTTTTATCCACACAGGATCCAATGAAGACAGAAAGTGCAGATTCGAGGATGCCAGAGCCCCCTCCACAAGACCCTGGTATTCCCGAAGGCCTCAAAACAAGCCCCCTAAACACAGAGGCTCTCGGGGAGTTTGCCCAAAACATGTCAGAGCACATACTTCGATCAGTTTTTAGCCAAAAGGAAACAGTAGAACCTGAGGAGTCCATTTATAACCAAGAGCACGAAATGCTAGCTGAGGCGCTAGCATCCGCAGTGATTGAGATCGCTCTGAGTGAAGTGTGTAGAGGAAGAAACTTAAAGGACCACATGGAGGGTGCTGAAATAGAGATGGAGAACAACAAGGGTGAACACCAGTGTTTTGAGGATAAATCTAGAAGAGACCAAGAACACCAGACTTCTACCCAGCCTTGCTATCCACCTCTATCCCAGTCAGGGCTTCCCGCTGTGGGATCCCTCGACTACCCCGACGCCCCACCGACCACGCCTCTTCTCCCAGAGCTGGAGAGGAGCAGAAGCAGCTTCGCCCGTAAGCTAAAAGGAGGCCTGGCAAAGGTTTTCCTACCCTCGCCTCCTCCACCAACGCCAAAGGACAAGGAGGACAACGGAGACTCTTTGATCAGCGACCCTCATGTGGAACTGATGGAGCATCTCATGCAGTCGCTGTCTACAGATGATTTGGGGAGAGGCAATTTCGAAGTAGCACCTCTGCATGAACCAACCATAGAGACTTTTGCACAGGCTCTGTCATGTGATATTACTAAGTGGGTTCTGGCTGCCAAAAAAAGAGAACAGATGTCACATGACAGTGATCTCAACCTACTGGCCCAACAGCTGGCTGAAACCATTATCACGTCCTCCATTGATGAAGCTAAAGTGCTTATCTAGGATTTAAAGTGATTCATGGAGTCAGGTATGATGAATAGCCTATATATATGCACACACAAGCTCAGTCCATGGACTATATATACATAAAAGGTGGACATAGCCACCATAACACAATCAGTTTAATTGTCTTTTGTAGCTATCTTAGTGTTTTTAAGTCAGACACGAAAAGTGAACCACTTATTGGTTAACAGCTTATGAGTAACAAGTCATTAACCAATTAGCATTTCCTGGTTTATCCACCTTTCTGACTCAAATAATGATGACAAATTTACAAAGGAATTTCATACTCTGTACACTATGATGTAAAACTAGCAACTGAGCCTCAAAAAGTTACCAGGTATTCAGTGACATCAGAGAGTATGGAAGTACATCTATAATAGCAGAAGGCTTTTTAGAAACCTGAGTAATCGCCCCCTGTTGGGCATCAGAAAGAATGCAGGTAAAAGCAAGATAGATAGACTATCTCTAGCATATACTTCTGTCCTACTCCACATACTCCTTTGCTACACGATGACATGACAAAACATTCTGTTCTGCAGCACAGGGAGAGAAGATGCCTGCCACTTTGAGTTCTCTAAGCCACTAAAACACTGTGGATTGCAGCTTTTGACTACAATCCTCAGCAAGTCCATAGTCCTACCCATTACCAAGCCAGTACTTCTCTGTTGGTCACTCTGTAGACTTAGAAGCTAAATCTATCATTTATATATAGTCTGTGGGGTCTGTTACTGTTATTTCCTCTAAAGTAGGCAATACACATTATCTTACTCCAAGATTTGGGAATTTCATTTGTTACAGGAGTTAATATGATTCATTTGCATTTAATTGTAATATTATATTAATGCTATTTATTAATGATAACATATTATTATGAGTTCAACTGTGTATTCGTTTGTGTTTCTTGTTCAGAAATGAACTTGTCATTGAGGTTAAGTGGCATTTCTGCATCCTGAAAACTGCTGGATGATAAGTAACTGTTACATTTCATGATGGATTAAAGTACACTGGATCTGACTTTTATTTCTTTCTTACAAAACAATACTTGGCTCCAAAAGCAATAACCACATTTGTCCTTTGGATGGCAGCACAGTAAAGAAATTTCAGCATTTTTCAGCATGAGCTCAGCAGTGCTGACCTACTTGGGACATGACAACAACTGGAATTAATTTTGTTTTCCATTTAGGAAATCATTTACTTTTAAATGGTGGTCACCTGTCAGTAAAATTGTTTTGTTTTGTTTTATTTTGCTTCTATGGTCAGGTCCTGCCAAAAGGGAAAGCCCTGCTAAATATAATGCAGAGTACAACGACTTGCAGACTGCTATATCTGTAACAGAAGATGAAACTGGACAGCAGATGTTCTGTAGATGAACTTGTATCACACTGGATTATAATCAGACATAACATTGGCAAATTGTTTGGTTAGTTTTCTTTGTAATCACCCTCAAAATCTTTATGTGTCCAGCATGACTCATTCAGCCCGTACACTGAGCAACGATACTGGCATTTTGGACAAATTTGTGTTCTGGCTCAAAGAAAGCTCGTTTTCATACTCACTTCGTCCTTGATGTCAGACCTTGGAAGAACAAAAAGAAAAAAGAAAAAAAAACAGGGCGCCACAGGTCTTAACCAAACACTGATGCGATCCTGGAATCGAATAAAAACTCTGTTTTCTTTTTAAATCAGTAACTACTTAAACACAGTTGGAGATTGACAAATTTACTGCAAGAAAATCTTTGCTGAACTTTTAAAGTGCTGTTTTGAATAAAGAGTCTCATTGTTCCTCTTAGTCACCGCTGTTTGAGTTCACACACTTTTTTGGTTCAAGAAACTAGGTAAGTGGGACACACAAACAGACTCAGACCCCCTTCCGCCCTCCCTTTTATTTTGCACAAACACAAAACACACACACAAAAGCCCCACCATACAATAAACAACCCAAACATGTGCAGATGATATGAAGCATATTTCTCTCTTTCCACTAAAAAAACCCCAATTAGGTCTGTATGTTAATACTTACAGACTTGTCTGGATGAGGTATAAACATATTAACAAAGAGTTCGAGCACAAATTACTAACATACAGCAGACATAAGACTTAGTGCTTTTATCATTTTCAGTCAACACTAGTAAGAAGGCAGTCAGTCGCTTCTGTGACGATGGAAATATTTGAAAACCAGTACGTCTTCATTCCTGGCAAGTCATAGTCTGCTCTTATTTTCAAATACAATGCCCTCTCTCAGACATGCACGAGGTGTCCTTTTTCCATCAGTGCCATGTTGTCTCAACAGTGAGAGAGGTCTCCCTCCCAACTTATACATTATTCTACAGATGTCATGATCCTTGTGTTTTGTTGGGTTCTTTTGTTGATTTTCTGGTAATAATGGCGTTTTAGTTATTGAGTTACTTAAGAGAATGGAACACATTGTCATTGTACATGTACAATGAACTTGTGAGTGCTCCACACCAACTATGCTAGAATAAAATATAAATAGTAGACAGCAGGAATAAATAGCAAGCAGAATAAATATATATGATGAAGAGGGATACAAAACAAGAGAAATATATACAAAGAAAAGAAAAGCCTTGGTCTGAGTGGAGTCTGTGTGTTAGTGGCCTGAGTGATGAGGGTTACTCAGACTATGCCTCAGATGAGTGAGGTGGGTGGGCAGTTGTAGGGTGTGGGGGTTAGTGTTTGTTAATAGTCTTAATGGCGTACGGGAAGAAGCTGTTTGTGACTCTGGAGGTGTCCTTTCACTCTAGTATTCAGAGTCTACTTAGAGGAATTACTATGTTTTGACATTATTTATTGTTATATTTATTAATTTATCCTCCAGAATATCTTCTTTTAAGTCATCATCTCTGTGTTGTTTCCTTGTTATGTTACTTGCTGTTTTATTTTGATAATCCTTTATCTCACAGATCTTTATTTTAGTTATATTTCCCTTGTCTCATCACTTTATTTAATGCAGCCGCGTCTAGTTTCCCAGGTGTCTCCACTCTCAGCCTCAGTTTTGTCAGGTTGGGTGTTTTCACGCAAAGAAAAGTCAAAGTGAACTCCAAGCAAACTAAAATGCAGCTCTACAAACCACGTGAGAATGTTCAGCCTGCTAATTGGCCAGATGTGTCTGGGGCAGGAGCAACAAAAGTAAATAGAGGAAGAAGGTGCTCTGTTCTGGGCTATTGGAAAACACAGAGAACTTACCTTTATTTCATGGCTAGCTGCTAGCCTTTACAGATTATTACACATCTGTAATAGCGTCCAACAGTGAGAATACAAAGCATTCTAGGCTTGTAACATACAGTAATTAGTTTGGATTGGGGTCGGATCACATTCACACCACAAAAGTGATACTTTGGCAAGTGTGAAAGCACACTTTGGTATGCTTTGTGTGCTACCGTATATGTGTTTGTAAAGACTTTTGGAAACAGGAATTTATTTCCTGTTTTGGAATGTGACTTTCTTGGTCCCCTGTACTGAACTTTCTTAAAGTCCTATTTTTTTGTGTCATTCTTCAAGTCTGTTTTGTGAGTCCTACATTTTGGGGCCTTTTGTCCAGAAATCATAAGAGTAGAAAAAATTTTTTTCCTGTGAAGGGGTATTTTTTAACCAGCGATGGGCACCTAAAGTCTCAAAAGTTTAAAGCTTTACTTCTGTTTTTGGCAAAAAAGATCCAAAGTTTTGAGGCAAAGAACAACATCTGGTGGCGAAATGAAGGCAAAGCAACCTCCAGAGCACAACTGAACCACAAGCATACCTTATTGTTTCAATCTCAGATCATGAATAAAAGCTCTGAAAAGACTAATGAATGCATCACTATTATGCATTAAAAAAATAATTATCTGTTGTAACTTTCATTTCTGGTAAAATGTCAGTCTGTAAATGTACATTGTCGTGCATCTGGAGGAATCCGAGACCAACCACCGTAGGGTCTGACAATGGGTCCAAAAATTTGTCTTTAAGCATGTCAGTCATCAAGGTACAAAAAAAATCAAATCAAAAAATCAAAGTTGATTCTTTACTGTCCCAGAATCAACTATATGGGTCATCCAGATAACTGGATGGCAGTCAAGGTGCAGTTGCCTAGAACTGTAGAATCTCATCTGTGAAATGCACAGGGTGCCAGTGTTGGACCTGCCAATTTTAGTATTCAATAGCAAATGTCAAATGGGCTCCGTGGTACCAAGCAGTGAGCAGCAGAGGATGACAGGCCCTCAGACACCCTCGTGTTCCTGTTTTGGTCAGAGACATTCTCACCATTGGCCTACTGGAGGTCATTTTGTAGGGCTCTGGCAGTGCTCATCCTGTTCCTCCTTGCACAAAGGAGTAGATACTTGTCCTGCTAATGGGTTAAGGGGCTTCTACAGGCCTGTCCAACACTCATAGAGTAAATGCCTGTCCCCTGGAATCTCCTCTCAGATATGATGCTATACTCTGATTTGAACTTTTTTGAGCAGTGTATTTTTATCTTCCAAAGAAAATGTTTTTGGTATGAGTTACAGATTTTTGTCAGGGCAAGCAAAACAGCAGTGCTTACTAGAGCAGGGCGATATGATCAAAAATATTTGTCACGATACACATTTGAAAATTTGCAATAACGATATAACTGACGATATAAATGACACTAGACAAAATACTCCTCAACTTTATTAGTGCAAAAAAAACCAAAACAAACAACCATCAATGTATTTTCACTTAAACAAGCAGCTTTTTTTATGTGCATTAAAGTTATATAAAAACGTAACAGTGCAAATCCTTGCTGACAGTTTAACCAAAAG